AGAAAAAAGAGATGAGATTGGGTTAAATGAGCAAGGGTGTTATTAGGAGAAATGTTCGTGTGAAAGGACATAGGAGAGAATGGAGGAAACCTAAGCAAGCCATCAGAAGAAGGTAATGCAAGTCTGATCCCAAGCGAAGGAGAGAGAGGGAGTAGGTTAGGTGGAAGCATCGTAGATGGCCGTATAGTCTAAGGAAAATCCTTGAGCCAAAGCTGGCCAATAAAGGAATGGGTCCACCTTGATATAACTCCCACATTCAGTCATGGGGGTTGGGGAAGGGACCTGCCCTGGGGGCCAATCCACTATGACTGGAGGAGAGGATCATATTAAAAGAAATGGCCATTGCCACCATAACCACATAGGAGATATGATGCAGTGGTTTCGAGGAAAAAACAAGAGGCTGGGCTGACCAACACTGCATCCAGTCTTCATATTTCTCACATTTTGTTAAAGAGGCAGCCACTCCATCAGGAACCTGAATCTCTCAAAATGTGCACCTTGACCTCTGGTTGTAAAAGTCACATTCCAAACTGCTAAGTAAGTCACATGACACTCATTTTGCTTGGCTCCCAGAGAGGAAAGGCTGACCTAACTCTCCTGAATTTGAACTTGTGATTCCCCGTAGTAAAGAGATACCAGACTTGATCTTGAGACATCTAACTTGTCCTCCACAATTTCACGTGTCTCCAGGTCAAGCCAGCAAACTAGCTCAAGCCCATCCTTCTTAACAAGTGACGAGCTGAGGTCTGGCTCATCTTTTCAATCATCCACTCCTTATTTTGTTATTGTTGTTATTGTTTTTCCTATTTTTTTTTCCCTTCTTAGAAGAAGGTCAATGCTGAGTTAGGACCTTATAATATATAACAGACAAATATTCCATGCTGGACAGAATTTTCCCAGCACTCTTATAGGGTGCGAGGCTTTTCTTAGACTTTACGTCACACAATGCTCAATTTGTTTGGAAAGGGTAGAGGTGGAAACATGTTCTATTAAAAATATCACTGCTTCCTTCCTGAAATTTAAAAGAGCCTATTAATTATCCTTCATTTAGATTCTCTCCCTCAGGCAAAAGTCTCATAAAGATAGGCAGGGAGAAAAGAAGGGTTTATAATGCCCAGGGGGTTAGCTTTTGCTCACAGAATACTGTGCTACTATTCTCTATCAATAACCATACAAATGGGGTTCAGCTCACACTTGTAGTTGGAAGGACACCCATCCCCTAAACTAGCATCTGGGATCCTGGGTAGCTCATGACTTGATCAAAGACCAGTTATCTGAGAAAGATTTGGGCCTTAAGGCACCAGATATTGTTTGACCTCTGGGGGAGGCAGTATGGCAGAGCATCTAACTGGTGAGCTCCAGAATCAGAAGGAACTGGTACAAATTCCAGCAACAGGCACATCTTCACTGCAAGAAATCGCTTTTAGTAGAAACTTTGTATTCCTTAAAGGTAAAATGGGCAAGACACTAGTACCCACTTCCAGAAGAACTATCAGAAATAAATAAGAAAACATATTCAATTAACATATGCAATACAGTGTCTAGAATGTTATATGGGTTCAAGTGATAAAATTGTTATTCTTTTGTTAAAAGAATAAACTGTTTTATTATTAGTCCTGGATCTATCCGTTTGTTCCTATGTAACCTCAAATTCTATATGAGACTGTTATAAATGAAATCATCTCAGGAGGTATTGTGAGATTATTGTATAAACTGTAAAGTGTCTGCAAATGTAAAACAAGATCATTATTATTGCCATTGTTACTAGCTCTCAGTGACCTTCTTACTCAAAAGGTTTATGCATAGCTTTCCTTTGAAGTGCTAGGAGCTAGGATTGGAGTAGAGAGATAATGGGAGAATGTGAATGAGCCCTTCAAAGCATTTTCCAGCTTCATAAATATCTGTGTATTGTCCACAAAGTGTAATAATGTATATCGCAAATTAAGCCCTTTCCCAATGAGCAGGTCAACCTTTTCCTGAGAGAAATAAATTTCCTCAACCAACCCTTGCGAGCTAGAGAACCAACATTTTTTTGAAAAATAAGCTTACCTTCCCTAGTGTCAATAGGAAATAGTATTTACTTACTACTGTTTTCCTTTCAAAAATCTGTCTAGTTGCATACTAGAAACAGTTTCGGCTGGTTTGTTTGTCTTGGACAAGCTGTTGAAGTGAAAAGTTTTTGCTTGGCTAAATGTGGGACAGTTTCATAACCCTTCAAGAAGTGCACTGAAGGTGGGTGCCAGTTCTGAAGGCTGCCTCAGACAGGCCTCCACTTGCTGCCCATTGTCAAGGGTGGCCAGCGGAATTAAATTAGGAAAATGAACAAAGCAACAGATGCAATTGAGACCAAGTCCCCGAGTGCTTTTGTTTTATCCCTGTCATTGTCTACAACAAAGAAGTCCCACGGGAGAGCCTGGGAAGAGAGCCAAATGCAAACCAGACGACATCCCAGCTGGTTTTGAATGGCCTCCATCGAACATGTGTGTGCATGGGAACCACGCTCTTTGGAGCAGGGTAGGCTTCTCTCAAGTGAGCTTCTGCCTATGGCTTTGCTGTGATGCTGACACACACAGACCCAGAAGAAATAGGAAGGATCCCTCTGTACAGAATTTACACCTCAGCTTTGAGACAAAAGGAAAAGAATTTCCCTGTGGGGAAAAGGACAACATCTATGTGGTTGGCCCATCTAAACTCAGTTCCTTTTGCTCCAGTCCTCATGAATTTGTGACACATAGAAGATACCTGAATTTCTCCTTCTGCAAATCTGGGATTTAATTTGGCTCAAGAGGAAGATTACAGATTAATCATCACATGTGGCTTTCTTTAAATTTCTTATTATTTCATTCTTGAGTATTCTCCTAGTTTGGGTGTTTCTCACAGTCTTAAAATATTTTTGTCTAAGTTGGTAGAAAAAAAAGGTAAAACTCAAATTAGCATATTTTTAGACCTGTCAGTTAAGTTGTTCAGTAGTTTGATAGAGAAATAGTATTCTTAATAATAGTTATTTGGAGTTTAGAAAGCCACATAGCTGATCAGCTGAGAACTGAACAAAAATGCAACGAGGAGTTTAGGATGACAGTGATCCTATACTGTGGCCCCATATGTCTTTCTGCCATTTTTCTGAAGAAATCCTTTAAGAAGGCAAAATGAGATGTATAAATATTTTAAGACAGAAATACAAATTTACTGGTAGTTCAACAGTAGATGCTTTTATTCAGCAAGAAATCAAGTGGATTGGATTAAAGGTCAATGATATTTTGGAGAAAAGTACTAGGATTTTAAACAGATGACATTTCACACTGCCCTATACGAATGCCCAATTTTGTTCCACAAGCTTTTTTTTTTTTCCAGTGGCCCCTGAGCTAGATAATCTAACAAACATTTTCTATACAATGATGCCATCCTCCTTCTATTCAGTCCCTACGGGATATTGACCATCAACTTACAACGTGCTAACTGGCTTTTATGAAAGAGTTGGTGCTAACTCCAATGTTAGGTAGAGCCGAAAAGCATGTGAAAGAACAATTACTAAATCCCTATGGGCCTTAACTCAGTGATTGGTAGTTGTTTCTGCTCCAGCGTCTCATCCTCTCCAGGTATTAGGTCTGGGTGAACACAAATGCCCTTACAGTGATCTCTAAGCTCCTAACAATGATTGGGTGAGCAGTCACTACCTTAGCCAGAAGGAAGAATTTGGAGATTCCAGCCACTATAGAAAGAACTCTTGTTTTTGGTCCTGATGGAAACATGTTCTAAAAAAATTTTTATAAAAAAGGCCTCTGTAGATCTTTAAACCCTATTCTATGCTAATAATTATCCATTATATTCTCCTATAAGGGTTTCCTGGTTAGAGATAAAACCAAGAGAAGAAGCATCTTATGTTTATGCATGCAAAGGCCACTTCCTCCTAGATTTCATTTCACATCTTATTTGTCTAAGTAAACTTTGCTATTTAAATATATCCAAGGATAAAATAATAACTATAGGAAAAGTATAAAAACCTGATTCTGCACATTATCAGAGAGTCCATTATACTCACTCATTCATTTAATTCATCCTTCAGTTATGTAGTGAGCACCTGCAAAATCCTGGGTACTGCTCTAAACATGGGCCTGTAACAGTGAACAGACAAGTCCCTGCTATCATAAGGCTTCGGCTCTAAGCAAAACTTGCAGGAAAGCATTGCTTATTGATGAGTAAATGGTAGCACCAAAGTCAGGAACCCTGGAATTTTAGTCTAGGAATGGCTACATCCTAGTAAAGATGAAATAGTGATAATAAGAGTAAGATAAAATAATAATAATACTTATATAGTGCTTGCCATGTGCCAGATCTATTATAAGTGCTTTTATGTACTAATTCTTTAATCCTTAACCCTACAAGGTAAAAACTATTGTTATCCCAGTTTATGGATGAAATTGAGACACAAGAAATTTTCGCTTGAAGAAGTTCACAGGGCTAGAAAATGGAAGAGCTAGGATTTGAGCTAAGCTCAGTATGTCTGTGATTTTACAGAGTCTAAAACAATTACAAATTTCCCCACTCTTCTAATTCTCTCTTTCTTCAAAGAGAGAGAATGAAAAAGAAATACCTTTTCACAAAAATCAAAACAGAACTAAAATGCAATAAAACAATAAAAAAAAAAATAACAAAAGATGCTACAGGCCAGGAGACTGAACTTTTCAGGATCTCCTTTCAATCAATGAATGTGTGATAGCAGCAGATGAATAGAAACACAGTTTTGTGTTGTTATAAAGCAATCTGTGGTCCCCATGCCAAAAGGGGCACATAGAAGCAGCTTGAATGAGGTTTAGCTACACTAAAAAATTAAAGCCTATTTACTTAAATTCGTCTTTCTTAGAACAATCTGGCCCAAGCTCTCTTAGACTGACTGGTGAGTCTTAAGCTATAAAAGGTTGAGACCCAGCATTAGAAGTAGATGGGTAGGATATATAAAACATCACCAAGTTAATGTCGCTTTTTTCCTCCCTTGCTTTTAGGAAGTACATTTGAAGAACGCAAGTAGAGGGAATGCGGGAAATAAGAGCTACCGAATGTAGGAAGACCTTCCTGGGGAGTGAAGAATGACATCCCATCGGCAGGATCCTTTGCTCTGCATGAATTACCAGTTAAACACCAGAATACCCACCAAAATATAAGTTTGATAACATTCCAAAAGATGGGCATTCCCCCCAATGAAATACACAAGTAAACATTGAAAACATTGTCTTTAGGAGTGATTGTTAAAAGCTTTGCACCTTTCCAAAAAGGTCCTGGAGTTGGTAGATTGCTGTTGATCCTTTATTACTAATGTTCTATAGAGAAAAAATATATGTGTGTATGTATGTATCTATCTATCGATATATATATATATATCTTAGTCCTTGCCTCTCAAGAGCCACAAATGCATGGGTGTTGTCTAGATCCAGTTGCACTAAATTTGTCTCTGAATCTTGGCTGCTGGAGCCATTCATTCAGCAGTCTTGTCTAAGTGGTTTATTAACTTTTTTTTATTTGCACTTCTTTCTATGCAACACAGGTTGTTTATTTTACATTGTCGATTACCTTGTTTGTCTATCGCTGCCCACTCTCCTTCATCCCCGTTATATTTGCCCAAATTTGGCCTCCTCCATAGCAGCAGCAAGCAGTCAAGTAGCACACCAATATTTAACCCACCAGATTCTATCTGTGGTACTGGTACAAAATATAAATCAGATGCATTTGCTGTAGACACAAAGCTTTATTTTTCCACATTTGCTAAAAAGAAAATGCAAATAGTTGCAACTTTGAGGCCAAACGTTCTTAGGTGTATGTGTTAAGTCTAGAAAGTCTCAAACTCTCAACAGTTCCTTCAAATGATGAGTTAGTGTGCGACCTAATTAGTAACTTCTCTTTGATTTTTTTCCATATAGAGCACTATGTAAATTTCACATATCAACATTACAGGATATATCAAACAGTATGTAAAACTCTCTTTTTTTAGTACAATGGTGCTATTTTTGTAGTTTGTGATATGAAAGACTCTGGCCTAAATGGTAAAAGGTGAAAGCAAAACAAAAAAAAAAAAGGATGCCTGGAGCCAAAGACACAGAGGGGAAGGGTCCTAAAACTCCAGTACCCCTGATTACGCCTTCTAAGAGAAATTGAAGACACAAAGTCCACTGATGCAAATTTGTTTGGCAAGTCCTGAGAGGAGTGGAAAAAGCAGAAGGTTAGGAATCTAATAGTCCTGGTTTCTTCTCACCGATGAAACAAACATCTGCCGACTCGGCCACGGACTCACCACTTTGTGACCTTGGGCAAGTCACTTCACCTCTGTGTGCCTCAGTTTCCTCATCTGCAAAATGGGGCAATATGCCATCTACCTACCTCACAGGGGTGGTATGAGAATTAAAAAGATAAAGCTCCAGATTATTATCCTAAATTGCTACGAGGGTGGAAGGTCAGAGCCCTTAAGTCACTGGGATGCAAGGAATTCTATAAACAGCTCATTCAGAGCATAGCGAGAAAACTGATTAGCCAAATGCTCCTGACATGCCAACTTTTGTCAATGAAGCTATCTAATTAAGTATCCAACCAGCTAATTGTTAAAAGTTAGCAATCAGATTGATCTCTTTTAAAACACTTTTCAAAATAAGTTAGAAACATTTGATTAACAACTTGATTTTAAATTCTGCATCTGGGTTCATAAATTCAAAGTGAAAAGAGGGAAATAAAGAGAAAAACAAAAAGATTTCTACTGGCAAAGGGGCAATTACTCAATTTGTTAGCACTCACTGATTTCTAGGCAATTTCTAGAAATCCAGTAATACTTCTTTTAATATTATGATACTCCATTCATTTTGAACAACCGTTATTCCATCTTTAGGCAACCTACAAAAGATGGCCCAAGATTTCAACTATTGAAATAATATCTTATAAAAAGTCACAGTTACTTTCTTTAATAAATTTTGCTCTTATCCTTGGCTATATATATATATATATATATTATTATTTTATTGTTGCTGTTGTTAAAATACCCTTGACTAGAGTTGCTAGTTTATAGGCCAAAATTTTCTTCAGAGCTAGAAATTTTCCCTCATGTCTTCTTAGAAGAATGGTCCCTATGAATGTGTCTTATCCATTCAACTAAAAATTGGTATGAAGAAAATCCAAAGTTGAGGGCAGCCCCATGGTTGAGGGCAGGCCCAAAAAATGTTTCTGGCCTCCATACCAAAATTTTCTTATGAGAACAATGAATCATCCACCATTTGGATCTTTTATCGGCCTTAGAATTTTTGGTGAGAAGCAACCAAGTTTATTATTTCATGCACATTGTACCCTTCTTATTCTTGGAAAGTACATATGGAAAACAAACATTACATGTTTAGTTTTCATCCCACTGGTACACCTCAAGATTCAGAGGCCAGATATAAAAAAAATTAAATTAAATTGAAAAAGACTTCCTGTATCTCAGAATGTATGCAAAATGAAGGCCTATTTAGTGGATGCCCTGGCTCAGCCAACAAGTATTTTAACCCTCAGTGTGCAGTGTTATTGGAGTTGAGCATCTCTGGTGTACTGAGTGGTGTTCTAACCACTATGGACAGATGTGAAAGGAACTACAAGTCTTTTTTGTCCTTCATCTGTTTTCACACATATGGGTTCTGCTGAGTGAGATGCTCTACTCCTCTTCCCAAGATGGCACTTCTAATTTTATTTCTTGTTCCTAGAATGCACCTTTTAAAATCACTGACTCCCAGAGACATTTTACATGTATTCTTCTGCCGACCTAGCTGGATAGGGTAATTCTAAGAGTGTCTATGACTTACTTGATTGACTTAGCAATTCTATTCACAGCCCAGATGCCCCAATGAGGAAAGCTTAAATAGACAAAAAGACATAATCTTTCTTAACTTTTTCCAACACATGTCCTCTCCAACTACATCATAAATCAACGAATTAAAAAGTAACTAATTATTATACTAACCCAGTATCTTATTTGCAAATGAATTAAAACTAGAAGACAATTTGATGTAAACTGCAAAAGTCCCTTGGTCCCCCTACACTCCAGCAGAATGTCCCAGGATTGACAGAGAGGGAGCACCTAACATTTCACAACTCAAAACTTCATAAGCTTTGGTTTAAATTTTAAAATGAGGAAATTTCAGGATGTTTATGGAAGAGCCGTACATATTGGTAGGAATTAGCTTTCAACGTATAGGCTTATTTCTGATTTAAATGACAATACAGAATACCTAAGTCAAATTTCTACTCCAGTTTCCCCACATAGTATAGTAGCACTATTTGAACATTTTAAGATGAGGAGGCTCCCCTGAAAAAGCTAATGAATCTTTCCATCAGAATGCACTCTTCTAGGCCTAAAAGAAACTCTCCCAATCTCTCTCTCTCTCTCTCTCTCTCTCTCTCTCTCTCTCTCTCTCTCTCTCTCTCTCCCAGAGAGTCCAATGGAATACTTAAAAAATAATAAAAAATAATAATAATAACTTCCTGGAAAAAGAAGAAAAAGCCTGGCCACCTTGAGAATCCTTCCCCTCCTGGGAATGTCAATGTTTGTGTAGATGGAACCATCTCATGCGCTGTGGCTCCAGGGTTTCCGTTACTACTTCATGCACTAGTGGGATTAAATTGGGGGATGTAGCACAATTTTGCTTTCCCATTTATTGTTTGGCCAACTATGCCAACGTGGTGCTATTGTTTCTTTAAGAAAGTACTTGACTTTAAAAAAGGAAAAAAAAAGAAAAAAGAAAGCATGGACATATTTTTTTAAAGTGTAAAAACGATAATTCTATAGCTAGGTGGCTTCATAAAACAGCACTAGGTCTAGTCACCACCACCTTTCAAGTTCTTATTGCTCACAAGTAGCACAGACTGTTCACCAAATTGTGAGTGTGGTGGTGTGGGGCAGAAGATGGAAAATTTTTAGAATCACAAGGCTCCACTCTTTTGTTGGCTCTCAGCAAAATTAGCACTATGTTACCCAATCTGAACACCTGGATCAAGAGCATGGAATATAAATGGGGCAAAAAAATACTTTATAGGAAAATGGCAGAACTAAAAGGATGGTTAAGTTACTTATTGATTTTTTTTTTTTTTTTTGGTGTAGAGAGAGAGAGAGAGAGAGAGTGAAGGAGGAAAATATGGATATGAGAAAAACATGGGTTGGTTGCCTCCCATTTACAACTGACCAGGGATTGAATCTGCAACTCAGGTATGTGCCCGGGCCAGGAATTAAACCTGCAACTTTTTGGTGTATGAGATGACACTCCAACCAACTGAGCCACCAGGACAGGGCTCAGTTCAATTTTTTTAAAATATATTTTTATTGATTTCAGAGAGGAAGGAA